TGACTTGAGGAAGGTGACTGACCCCCTAGGTCATACTAGGACCTTTTCAAGGCAACGGCAAGAGTAGAAAAGGGACTCTTCAATTTTTTCTTCCAGAATAAATAGAAATCACTTGACAGTTTTGAAGGAAAACACTGTCAACCTGTCGACCCTCAATTATGTGAAAACTACTACGTTCGAAAACTATTAACGAGGTTAAAGAGCAATGAAGTAGTGGGGTCGAGTAGATCTAAGTAGTATAAAAGAAAACGCCTACTCCCTTCTCGAGGTCGCCGATAAAATAATACATTCAGCAGGCAATAGATGCCGCCATATGGCTGAATAGTTATATAAAATTTAAAATGTAAAAATTATTTATATAAAAAAAGCAAGTGACATTTGCAATGTTACAATACTGCCCAGTTCCATCTGTTAGGAAATAAATCAACAGATAAGGAATGTGACTGATTATTTCATTCGTTATAAAATAGACTCATCAGACAACGTCATTTTTTGAATGAATTTTGTTTAAATAAGTGATTATTGCACAAGAGCTTGTTTATTCGCGATTAAATTTTTGTTTACCTTTTTTGACAGTATTTTGATAGAAATAGTGTGACAACTTATAATAAATAGAATTCTTTGGATAGGATTGAAGCCAATAATTCAATCCTAATTATTCAGGAAATAATCTAGTCGTATACCACTCGACCTATAAATTTAAATGGACTAAACTATCCAAATAGTTTTTGCATGATTTTGCTATTTGGCAAATAGTTTCATGCACAATAACTTTTAAATATTATTTATACGTTTTATTATGTTATTGTGCATTCAACTATTTCTCAAGCAAAATCATGCTCAAAATCTGTTGGATAGATTAATCGATTAAATTTGAAGCTCTTGTGATATAATATATGATTATTGTCCCACAAAATTGACTAAAAATGTCTGAATTAATATGCATCAATAAAACGAGATTTTCAAACTAAGAAGTGTTTGCTCATTCACTATAGCAAATATCAAATAATGACTTTTGGGGACTCTTGTTATCTTCAGTTCAACTATGAAAAGGAAGTTCCACTTACAAAAGTGAACAATTATTATTGTAACATTAAGGTCCGTCGTGGAATAAAATATCCTAAAGCTGATTTTTACTCCCACTTCTCTGAGGGTGCAAACTACCCCCAAAGGTACAATATTTTATTTTTTTCTCAATATCTCGAGAACGGTGGACTTTGATGAAAAATGTTTCTCATCAAAAAGGAAGCCAATAAAATTACCTACAAACTAGTACATATGGGTTTAGAATTTGAATATACCAGTGGTGTGCAGTCAGTCTCCAAAATCGTTAATTTTTTTCTCGGTCCTCAAAAATTAAGTCCTACTACGTAGTACCTTGCCAAATATCTCGAATACAATTGATTTTTGTGAAAAATGATAATAACCAGAATGAAAGCCAACTATACAAAATGATGTACGCATGTACACAATTTGAATAAACCAGTGACGTGCAGCAACTGTTTGAACTTGCTTAGCATAATTTAACCTTCAAATATTGCGTTTTATGAAGTTGGAAAATTCCCATTCAACAAGTTTATTTAAACAAAACATTGAAGTGTTTACAAAAAGATTCATAAACTTCAAAATGAGTTACCTCAGGGGCGTACAGTATTTGAATCTGGTCCTATTTTTCAATATAAATTAAATGTTTAGTACCTACTTACTTTAAAAGTAGAAAATTATGTTTTTTATATTTTTTAAACAATGGTGATGTCCTGGCACATTTGGCAGAATCTTTTATTTCATTTCCGATTCGTAGATCTAGTGCGGAACTAGTGCAATTTTTTTCTATTTCTGTCTTTTTCTTCTACAGGTCGATTAAAAGGATGCAAATACACTCAGTGCGCATTGAATCTACCAATCGGAAAGGCAATTATATTTTTTGAGCGACCAAGGATAGGTAATTGTTATAAACCTGGTTACCAGAATAACCTGAGAAAAAAGAGACTGGTTCTAGTTATGTCAAACTCGACATGAATTTTATTTTATTCTTCCGTTTATTGTAATTTTCAAGTATTTCTTAATAAATTTATAACGAAAAATTGAACCAGTGTAATCTATAAAGAATACAGTCCACGCTTTACCATTAAATGGTAAATAATCCTGCTTTCACAGTTCAAACAGAGAAGCAAAATAAATTAAATTATTTTAAAACAGTGGCGCACAGAATCGTTAATATTATCAATATACTGGTCATACATTAAATATTCTCCACCATGAATCAAAAAATTACACCATAAACAAAAGGAGTTTCATATAGGTACCTACCTACATTACGGTCTAAATTAAATCTTCTTTTTTCTTCGCAAATTCTTCAAATAAATCAATGTTTTTAGTATCAATCGGAAGCCCTTTATCCAGTGTCCGTTTGTTCATAAATGTTCTATAACAATTTTGGTGATAACGGGCCTCTGCGGCGATAAGATAAATTTCCATGACAATTCGATGACGAACCTTTTGTCCCCATTCATCATTTCTTAGTAGGTAGTGCTTCAAAATTGTGTCCTCAATGGACAGTGTAGTGACAAGACAAACTTTTTGCACATTCTTTTTTCGAAAATTCACATTTTTTGTGCAAAATAGGCAGTCAGTTTTAAAGTTTATTTTCTCATTCTTCTATTGTCTCAACGTAGAAGGCAAATTAGACCCACCCATCCTGAGGCTGAGGGCTTTGAATAAATAGCATTTTTAAAAGCTCTAATGCTTGTGGAACTTGTATAATTCCGTCGACATTTTCGACAATTGTCCACTTTTCATCGCCTCTCTAGCGACTAGCTGTTATTAACGGGGCGAGTCCTTTTTCACTTACGTTAACAGATTTAGAGAGATTGAGTGATTGGTCACACATAGCGCATACATTCATTTCTGATTTTGAAATGTCGAAAAATAATGTGTGCTCAATTATATTATAACCGATGAGGCTGTTTAATAAATTACGCGAGACAGTAACATAACCTCAATTGAAAACTGCAAACAGCAGCGCAGAAGTGAATATTATGATGTAGTGAAAATCACATAATAATTACTTATCCGGTATTATTTATTGATTAATGAATAATGTCGATAAGCAATACAGAAAATACAGTTTCTGATACTTCCACAAAATAGGAAATACATAATAATTGTAAGCTAATGAGTTCAATCGCAGGCGCTGAATCACGGATATTTTGGAAATAGACAAATAACTGTCTAGCTTGCGTCTAGTAGGTGCAGCAATAGGCCGGTTGGAGGCAAGTTAACACGATAATATTGTATTTTAATGAAATTCACGTTGCCTTTTCTCCTTTATTTCACTGCGAAAATAAATCGCTTAAGTACCAACTATGCATTATGTTGCTCTCTTGTTTTTAACAGTTACTACACGCCACTGATTTAACTGAATTATGCACGTGTATATACCTTCACGTAGGTCATTTAATTTGGATTTATTTCGGTTATCATTTTTCACAAAAATCAATTGTATTTAAGATAGTAGGACTTGATTTTTGAGCACCGAGAAAAAACTAACGATTTTGGACCCATATACCTACACCATTTTGTAGGTAATTTTATTGGCTTCCTTTTTGCTGTGGAACATTTTTCATCAAATACTACCGTTTTCGAGATATTCAGTAAAAACTAGAAAATTGTACCTTGGGCGGTGGTTTGCACCCTCGGAAAAGTAGGGACTTTTAGTATGTTAATCTGGAGCACAAAAACTAGACATTCCCGCAAAAATCAGCTTTAGGACATTTTGTTCCACGAGCACCATGGGAATGAAAATAATGTTCCTGGCCTAAATTCACATTCTTCTCATTTGCGTATTTTTCCTGTACAGTAATACCTACACTTTTCTATCCAGTTCTCTGGGTGTAAATCGAAATTAATCTCTTTAGAGGTAATTCAAAAACAATGATTCCGAATTCCAATAATCAAATTCGATACAAGCATAATTTGGAGTTTTAATAGTAATCAATAATAATTAGTAATGTCCGTCGTTTTTAATCTGACACTTTCCGTATGAGGAGGGAGGGGGTGAAGTATATGGCAAAAACAGTTCTGACGTGAGTTGACCAATGGGGTTCTAATGTAGGGTACTACCAGCTCACATTCCTGTCGAGTATCAGATTAAAATCGACTTACTTTAGGTACATTTGAGGAAAGTTACGTATATAATTTTTGAAGAAATAAATAAAAAAGCAATTTTTCCAAAACTACATAATTATAGGGACTTAGTTTTGACATTGAAACAACGATATGAAACCCATTCTAGAGCGAAATAATTTAAGACAAATTAATTATATAAGATATGACCTAAAGCACACTGACAATAATTAATTTCGCAATTTCTGTACAGAAAGTTGCCTAGGAGAGGAAGGAGAATATGTTATGTATTTAGGAAGGGGATATAGAACACCTGATATGCTAACATAAAAGCACCACAGAGACGTACAATAATACTATTACGAACATATATTTTCGAGGAAATGTCTTATAATTATTATTAATGCATGAGGAATTTAGTTCTATCGCTACAAGATTCCAGGCTTTTGATGCTTGTTGTAAGGATGCCTAAATTATAAATGGCAATAAAAGGTAGATTTTTCTTGTTATTTTTGTATGTTTCGATACAGTTGAACAGACCAGCAAATAAACACAGTCAGATAAATGATTGCCATTACTGCGATCCGCTTTTCCAACATTACGAACTTTGTGTCACCTACATTCTGATTGATCGCCGTCATGTTGTATTAGCTTTATTCTCCCCCATAAAAGTGCTCTTTTTTTATTAGCAGACACGTTTTTCAGATAAAAACTTGCCAGTGCGGTGTGAGTTCAAAAATAACAAACTTACGGATATGTTTTCTTAAGACCCAAAAAAAACTAGACAGCATTAAATATTTGTATTTTGTGAGTGCCACTTCATATCAGACATGGACTTTTTTCTAGTAGATTAATAGCAATTATTATTGTTTCAGTTACCAAATTTATCCGTATTGGCATCGCAGATAAAAATGACAATCCACCTTACTTCGAGAAACCTTTTTACGAAGCGGAAGTCTACGAAAATGAAGATATTCAACACACTTTGCTTACAGTTACCGCCAAAAATCATGACGAATGTAAGTATATAATTTTTTTTTTTTTTTAATGATACTAAAATTGGAAAAACTCAAAATTTATAGTTGTTTGAAACACCATTCAATTTGACCTCTTATATTATATTTTGTAAAAAATGCTCCATGTAAAAGTTTTCTGAAGAAGTAGGTATGTATCTACATCAATAGGTTTAGGTTTGGGTTTAGTTTTCTTGTGAATGGTCCGATGTCGGTCCTTCCACTGCGACCTACGGTCTGTTGTGGCTCAGTCCGAGTTTATTTTTACCCAATCAGTTCAGCCTGCCACGCTTTTTCGCTGATTAAGAAAAAAAAAATAAATTTAGAAAAATAAATTTAGAAAAATAAATTTAAAAAAAAATTAAAGTCGAGAATAAAAAAAATTTAAAAAAGTAAAATAAAAATAATGAAAATAAAAATAATTGAATGAAGAACTTGAGATTGTAAGACTGAAGGTCGAAGTGCGTGCAAATTAAGCCCTAGCTCAGAACTAAATATTTCGGAGAGTAGGGGTGGGTTTTAGTTTTGGGCGCCACCGACTCTGAACAGATGAGTCGGACTCTCCAGGATGGTATCTGGCTTCAGGTCCTTACAATCCAAATAATAATTAATAAAAAAAAATAAAAATATTAGCAAAACCAGGCTGTGTGCATAAAACCAAATAAAAGTCAAGATATCAAGTGCTACAGTCGTTTAATCACCAAATAGTCGCAGTCCACAATGAACAATAATTTGAATTTAAGAGAAAAAAAAAAATAATAATAATCAAGTAAATGCAAGCAATAAGTAATTAACAAAATGACAAGCAAATGTAAGTAGTAATTAATAAAATGACCTTGTCATGAAATGTCAACCAACAAATACAGAAATGCGATACTATAGTCATGAAGCGTTAACTAACAAATACAGAAATGCAATAACTATAGTCATGAACAGTTAAATTTAAATACAAACATGTCATTGAGACTCAATGACCCAAATGAATAATAATAAAAAAAAAAAGGTATAAATAGAAAAGTTGTTAATGTAAATTGAAGAGAAAAACAAAACAAAAAAAAAACAATAAATTAATGAATAATAAATTGGAGCGGTTATTTTACACTTACGTAACCAGAACTACCAGTAAGTTGACATTAATTCAACAGGTTACGTCTAGTTAAGTTACCTATTTTAATAATTCATTTACCACACTGGGGCCAGCAATGAATTATTCCCTGAAATACCGAGGTGATCACCGGGTGTACAAATAGGGACAGAATGTAAATAAACAATAATAATAAGTAGGATAACTAAAACTAGTACGATACCAAAATTTCCCAGATGGTGGTGGTTCATTCAGTTCACCAGATTAGTCCTGGCCACTGGTTGTGGTCAACTTGTTCGATGACTTGCGTAACCGTCCGATTACTTAGGCTGGTGTCTGTTAGCCTTTTGGTTCAATTTCGGTTACAATTGAACGTCTATTGTTATAACCGTGAGGATATACTCGATGGTAAAGTATAACCCCTCGTGAAAGAAAATACCCTCGTGAAAGGAAATACCCTCGTGAAAGGAAATAACCTCGTCAAAGGAAATACCCTCGTGAAAGGACCCTAAGAGAAAAACTGTTATACACACTGTATTTGTAATTGAACTAATAGCGAAGCACTTCATGAATAAATTGAATTAGAAAATGAAACTATAATGATTAGTTCCCAATAGCAAATTTACTTGATAAAAAAAACTATAGCTCTTGAAAATTATTTTAATAGAAAAATTGAACATTAAGATATTAATTAATTAAATCAGATTGAATCATAATAAAGCTTTGATATTGATCAAGAAAAACGTGCCCCGAGCCTGCAAAAATTGTTATAAGGTTATGTTTCTTTTACCTGTTGAAATAGGGTTTTTCGCCTCGAAAATCTCTGGAAATCTGGATCGAGGATTGGATCTCCTAGAGAGAGTGAGAATTATCTACTCCTTAGGGCAGCTTTCAACTAAATTAAATTGAAAAAGTCAGACTCTACTATAAGAAAAAAACGTGTAAGCAGCTTACCACATTGGAGTTGTAAAAATCCGAATAAATCGGCGAAAATTATAACACTACGAAAACGTAAGGCATGAAGGCAACTAAATGTTATAACTTCAAATGAGAATTTAGGGTCGAAATCCCACAAAGGCGAAGACAATCTTCATAAAGACCCTAATTCTCCAACGTCCAGATGTGAAAAGAAATGTGTTACACCTTCAATTAATAAACTAACCTAACCCAAAGGAAGGAATTCAGACTTAGAGATGATCGAGAACAACGACAAACAACAACAACCAATCGACAGAATTCCCACTTACCAAAAATTGCACACAACAATATAATCCGAGAAAAACGACAACGGCTAATGAATTATGATATTAACAACAAACAATCAACCCATAAAACAATCAAAACTTGAAGAATACAAAATATAGTAAGTGTTCCGTTTTCAAAATTAGAGAGCTCAAGGAAGAATCGATGATACCAAAACATCACTACTCCACCGCTGGTTGACAGAAATTTTTGACAATCAAAAGTCAAAGAAACGAAATCAAAGGGTGTGGTGCGTTCAAGATGTCTCAAAGAACATCGAACCAATGCGCGACTAAACGGGGTACGCTAGAATTTGCGCCGAGATCAATATCGCTCCATAACCGAACAGTCAGTACGAACGGTACACCCACTTGAACACGGGTCATCATGATTACGGAACACAACCCACGAAATATTTTTGACACATGAATTATTTTTGTTATGAAACAGATGATCGAATTTAAAATCAAAATCAAAATATTGCCTTGTTTTGCTTTAGAATTGAATTAAAATATGGATTAAAATGAGGAAAAAACCATTACAGCAAATAGAATTTGACTATGGAAAATTAGAAAATTTACAGGATCTACAACCGTTGAGATTATTGATGAAATTTTATAGAGAAAATGTTGACAAATTTAAGGAAATCTTGAATATAAAATTGAAAGTAGGTAAGAATCATTTATGCAATTTTGGCCTGTTACAACTCCCCCTCTCCTACGATAGGAGGGAAAGTTAGAAAGAAACTTTTCCGACGATAATCTAAGCAAACTCGAGAACTAAGGTACTATAAAGAATGTAAAATATATGTATTTATAATTTAAACTTAAATGAATTCAAAATGACTATCAGGATACAACAATTAAAAAGGTAGGTTGATAAGGAAGGTACGAAACGAACATCTACTTACTTTGCCTTGAAAAACACAACGATAAGATAAAAGATAAGGTAACTGAAGTCAACGAAGCTAAAGGCTTTCAACACACATGGAGTTGTAAAAATCCGAATAAATCGGCGAAAATTATAACACTACGAAAACGTAAGGCATAAAGGCAACTAAAATGTTATAATTTCAAATGAGAATTTAGGGTCGAAATCCCACAAAGGCGAAGACAATCTTCATAAAGACCCTAATTCTCCAACTTCCAGATGTGAAAGTCAACGAAGCTAAAGGTAAAGGCAAAAATAAGCAAAGTCGTGAAGGAAAGAAAAGGGAAGAAATAAAGGAAAGAAAAGAAGTTATTGACCACTAAGAGTTGAACGCCAAAAAGGCAAAAGGTAAACGCAACAATCAAGGTACAAGGTAAATTCAACCCACAAAAGATAAGCCAACTAACTTCAGGGTAAGGTCAGGTACGGAGTAAGGGAATTAAAACAAAACACAAGGAATTAGGAATAAAAAAAACTATGATGGACATAGGTTTGCAAGAAATGGTATAACAACCACAAACCTATTCCTCAATGACCTAACATATCCTATTCCTAAAAGACATGCCAGGGTGATGCTAAAATTGCCAGTGAGATGTTACTGGTTAAGGCTACAGACAGTATGGTTTGCCGAGAATACCATAGCAAGGGGTTTGAATCAATGATTGGTGTTGATTAGCATCGGAAGTTAACCCTTGGTCTGACGGGAGTTTTCCAATATGGTGTTGATGGTAGGGCTACAGACTGTATGGCTTGCCGAGAGTACCATAGCAAGGAATTTTCCTTGGCCTGACGGGGTGACATAAAGAAAAGGGAAGGGAAATGATTAAAAAAAAAAAATCAGTTGATTACTCAGTATCTGAATGATTGGTAGTTGGATCAAGGAATGGTTTGAGCTCCTGTACATGCCAGACACCCTTCGAGTTACCATGATCGTCCTGTAGTTCATACGACCAAGATCCACATTTACGCTTTATAGAAAATGGACCAACATACTGTGGTGCTAACTTAGCAGTGATGTAATTAGCAGCATCAGAAAGGATTTTATTCTTTCGCCAAACCTTATCACCTGGATCAAAAGTTACAGGACGCCTACGAAGATTGTACCTATTAGCATTCTGGGTCCTTGCGGATTTAATTTTGCTTTCGATTTGCTTGTACAATTTCACAAAACCTTCCTGTCGGGTCTTCAGATGAATATCCAAATTGGGTAAAGTGTGTGGAAGTTGGATGGAATTGTCGTTGCCATACAAATGATGCTCTCTGCCAAACAAAACGAAATATGGACTATACCCAGTAACTTCGCTCGGTGAGGTACGAATAGCGCAACCAATCTCTTGGAGATGTTCGTCCCAAGATCTGTGATCTTCTTGACGCACATAGGTACGCAACATAGTCTTAATGACACGGTTATGACGTTCTGTGGGATTTGCACGGGGATTGTAGTTGGCTGTATAGAATATATGGGTCTTATAGCGTTGACACAAGGCCTGAAACTCCTTCGACTTCATCTGAACACCATTATCACAGGTCAAAAATTTGGGAGCACCAAAAAGTAGAAAGAAATTCTCTACATGTTCAACTAGAGATTTGGCCTTAGCGGCACGACATGGATACAGGAAAACTGACTTACTGAAATAGTCCGAGATGACAAGAATGTAACAATGTCCCTTTTTAGAACGAGGTAAGGGTCCTATATAATCAAGGCTTATTGACTGAAATGGTTCAGTGATGACTGGTCTTTCTCCCATTA